TGTGTGTTTTACTAGCCTCTGCTTTGTCGAGTGATTTGTCTTGACAGTGCTCCCTTGGCCAGCCACAATGGTTACCCTGAGCTCTCTCGTGCACTGCACACACACACACAAACACACACACAATGCCAGTGCTGGATTATCCCCATCACGGATAGCCGTATTGGTGGACAAAAAGCCTAGAGGATACAAAAAGGGCATTATTAGGGAATTAGCAAACCAGTAGCCCACTTCTTATGTCATCCTCATCTTTCTTTTTTTTCAAAATCTTCAAATTATTGGGTATGTCACAAACACTACGCCATGCCTCGGAGCTGTGCTGTGTGTGAGTTGGACTTTTCATGCAGTAATACTACTTATCCTGTTGCAGAAAGCAGACCTGGCAGTCGCAGGCCTGACCATCACAGCAGAGCGTGAAAAGGTGATTGACTTCTCCAAGCCTTTCATGACCCTTGGTATCAGCATCATGTACCGCGTCCACCTGGTGAGTTAAGTCCCCCCGCACACACCTATTATACCTGATCGAACTGCCTCTCATACAGCTTGCGGATAAACCACAGCAGGCTGTCAGGCATGTCTAATGCCTGGAAAAGAAGCACTCTGCCTTCTGGCCTGTAGAGTCTTTTTCTCTCTCTTAGTCCGTTTAAATTCCTCCACAACTTCTCCCCTTTTACACCTTATTGCCTCTTTACCTCTCAGCTACTCGTTTTCCCTTTCATCTGCGTTTTTTCATGGGTCCTCTTCCTGCTTTACCCCTGTCCTCCGACATTACTTGCCACTTCATCCTTCTCCTCTGTGTCAAGTTCTTTTCATTTTTCCTTTGTCCACCCATTTCCTCCTTTTGTTTCCGTGCCCCCCACCCCCCACCTCATTCTGCCAGCACCAGATGGCTCATTTTATGGTGTGAACTGAATGATAAATGTAACACTTTCACAGTTGTTTTCTGCTTGTTCTCTGATTGGATTTCGCCATCTTATTCTCACAAGCAATGCCCTCCATTCTCTGCAGAGAGCAAGTCCAAGCAAGAAACAGCGAAACAACAGCAGTGCTGGTGGAAATGAGCCGGTGTTTGCGCACTTAGTGGCCCATTAATCATCAGTCCTCCCCCAAAACCCAAGGTGACACTGTGGGGGCCACAGTAGCACTGGCCACAGTCCGTGCTGAGGTGATCTAGCGCGTGCGCAGGCTAACATTAGTGTAGCATCCCAAAGGGGCATTTTACTCACATTCCCATTCCATCTTGCTCCTGTCTCCACTACTTGTAAATCTCCCACCGTGTCACCTTCCCATAGTCTGTGCACAGTACCCATAGGTGAGGCAGTGAGGCACTCAATTGAGCGGCAACAGTTGGGGAGAATCAATCGACGTTCACAGCAGGTGCTACGTTAAATGGGCTGCTGGGCAGCATGTGACCTCTGAATTGGGAAGCAGGCAGGCGGGTGGCAGCCTGAGGATATGATATGGAGCTTATGTCCCACAGGGTTGGCACACAGAGCCAAATAGTTGAATTAGCAGAGACTTGACCCAGTTGAAATTCCTGAGTAAAGCGGTTTCTATTAAGATAAGATGTGTGAAGTCGGTAGAGGAAGGTGAAAAGATAAGAGGGAAAGAAGACAGGCATAAGTGCAGGTATCATCTCTCTTTGTCTCTTTCTCTGTCCCTCATTTCCTCACACTGTCTTTACTTTCTCATTGCCCCGTGGCATTTTCTTAGATCCGATTCAGAGTGGTCCCTTAGCATGCTCTAAAATTCGATATTTGAATTTCTGTGACTGCACTTGTTTAGTTCTAATCCACTGACTATTGATCTGAGGCACAGTGATTTCTACAAGGGGGTATACTGCTTATTTCAAACTTTAAATGAAAATTTCAGTCCAATCAATAAGAATGGCGAATGCAATAAAATACAGCTGCCTGTTGGGTATTAATTATCCGCACACTATCGCCAGTTTAATCTCCATTTCTCTTCTTTGTCACAAGTATTGCATGTCTTTCTTACTCTCGCTCTCTCTCACACACACAGACACACGCACAGTTTTTTCACTTTCATTATTTATTCTTATTTTATGTTTGTTGCGTTCAAAGCACACATTTACATTCTTTTCAGTGAAGGCGATAGCTTTAACGTCAGGCGTAATCTTGTTACAAAGCTGCTGAAAATGTACATTTCCTGTTTGAAACACAGGTGCAGCGTTGAACTAACGCTTCACTGCCTCCACCCCACCCACACCCCAAACCCCCTCCCTTGCCCTCCACACCACCCACCCAGCCACTACAACAACTGTCACAGACAAGTTTTCTGTGGAGTGTTCAAAATTGCAGCAAATGAGAAAATTTAATCACCTGTCAAATGAGTTTGTGTCTTCATGCTATTCTCTGAAGGGACCGCTGTCTGTTATCATTTCTGGGACACTGACTCTGCAATAAATAAAACTAAAAAAAATCCAGACAGCTTGCATCTTGCCTGCATAAGAAGAGCACTACCTGTCTATATGTTTCAACTGTCTCGCCTGAATGTCTTGTCTGGTTGGGGATTTGTAGTTGGGTGCTATTCGAGGCCATTTAGTGTATTTTATATGGTGGGGTATTTGACATGCATGTAGCTTCAGGCCCTATAAATAAAACGGATTTGCTTCATACACAAATCAAAGAGAAGCCGGTGCAATATGAATCACTGCGGTTATGAACCCAGACACTACCTAAAGCGACTGTCAGCTTCATCTCATAAAAACCTTTCGTTGTCTTGCATTCATCATCTGTACAATATAAAAACCATATGCTGCATGCCAAAATCCCAGCACTGTGAGCGTCTTTAAATCTGTGCCAGTTCCTTCTCCATTAATTCGTTGACTGTGTAACAGGGTATATGAGTGGATGTGTGCATGTTTGTGTGTATAAGAGAAAGAGTGCCACTTAATTAGACATAGGGGTTAATTAGGGGTGTGTAGAAGCTGTGTCAGATTCAGCAGCTGCCCTGAGGGTAGAGCGTAGTATAACGAGCTTTATTGACTCACTGGCCACAGAAGTCCTCAGACAAAATTACACAAACAAATGAAACCCTGTGCACAGAAACACAGACGCAGCTCGTGGAATTTAAAAACTTACCAGTTATGTTATTTAGGGTTATTTTTAAATGCAGTTTTTTTCCATAATAAATCAATATTAAATTTAACACTAAACAGTAGGTTGTGTAATATCATTAAATTGTGTATATATGTGCTTAGGTACAACTGTGCAACTGCTCATTAATGCACAGGCTCTAATCAGCCACTCACATGCAGCAGCTACATACATTTAAGGATGTAGATATTCTAAAAAAAGACCTGTTGAAGTTAAAAACTGGGCATCAGAATGGGTTAGAAGACGATACTGAGATCCCACTCCTCTCAACTAGCATAAAGAAACTGAGCCAATTAATGATACAGGTTCAGCATGCTGGTAGTGTGATGGTGTGGAGGATATTTTCTTATCATCGTTTGGTCCCTTTAGTACAAACTGAGTATTGTTGCTGACCATGTCCATCCCTTTATGACCGTTGTGCATTCATCCTCTGCGGGTTCCTTCCCACAGGATAATGTGTCGCGTCACAAATGTCAGATCATCTCAGACTGGTTTGAGATGTGGGATCATCTTGATACAGAACAGACCAAACGCAGCCAACATCAAGAGAAGAGCTTTGAATATTTTCCATGAAGCCTGGAGAACTATTCCTGAAGACTCCTCAGGAGAAAGTTCAGGGTGAAGAATAAAGCTGCTCATATCAAATATTGACTTTCAAGCTCGTTAGGAATGTTTTTGCCTTTTAGATTGTATTTCCGTGGATGCACATGTTTCATTAAACCGCTCTACCTATTTCCCATTTTCCTAGCAACATACAAAGAAATAAGGGGTGTCTTGAGACTTTTGCACCAGACTGGAAGTTTTATTCTTTTATTTTGAAAGTAACCCTAAAACTAGTAGTGATGTGGGGGTTTTTTTTTTTAGTTATGTTAGAAGAGTTTCAGCAAACACAAAAGCACAGCTTTGTTTGTGTGCAACTCACTCAGACATAAAGCCAGACAACCCGGTGAGCTCAAGAGGCAGCAGGATGTTGTTATGAATATGACCCTGTGACCTCAGCCAAATCAACTGCTCTCCACAGATTGCCCCCGCGGCCATCTCAGCAGCCGTAACAACTGGCAGCTCTAACACAATTAGAAATGCACACACATTATCAAAGAGCTTGGGGGGGTGGCAGAACATGGGGAGACACAGGGAGGGACAGGAAGAAAGACAACATAAAAGAGAATAAGCAAGAAATAGGTAGAAGGACATGAGGGAAGATGGAGAAATGAGAGCAAGGAAGTGAGCGACGAGAGTGTGAGAGCTGAAATGACAATGGGAAGTCTCCTTCGGTGAGTCAGTGTTCAGGCAGGAAGCCTCAGGGGGCAACGGTGTGGTATGAATACCAAGAGGAAAGATGACTAGGTGAAATCCTCAACTGGATAACCTCACCGGCTCCCTCTGCCACCCTCCTGGCATGTAGGCAGTCCCCCGAGAGTAACGGAGAGGGGGAGAAGCGGGAAATATGGAGGGACAGCGGGAAGTTGAGAGAGAACAAGGGCAGTGCAAGGTAAAATGAATGAGTTTTTCATCTGTGTGTTGAGATGAAAAAAGGACACATTGCTACTAAAAAAGGCAGCAATTTTTCACTATTTTATTTGTTGAGATGGACTCATAAAAGCAGGTCTTAGAGGATGTTTTGCCCTCTGTGCCACAGGTGTATTATTTTACTTCCTGGGATTTGCCTCATCCCATATATATCATCTTAACATGGCCATAAAACTGCTATAAAATGATACCCCTGACTCTGATAAAAAATCATTCAAATATGGCAGCAAGTACTTACGCTGTGAAGAGACACTCATCCAGTAAACATCTAATTTGGTCCTTGGTGTACTCTGTTTATATTTTATTACTTTGTTAATTATTTCTAGTTCTAGTCTACACTTCATCGGCAACTTTGTGAGGTACAGTCAAGGCTTGTTAATGCAAATATCTAATCAGCCGATGCACAACACATTTAACCTTGAAGCAGATGGGCTACAACAGCAGAAGATCACACCGGGTCACCCACTCCTGTCAGCGAAGAACAGGAAAATGAGGCCACAGTTTCCACCAGCTTACTAGATGAACATTGTTCGGTATAATTTCTACTGCAATATTCGAATGGTACAGAAACAAAAGCATGGCTCCATCCTCCCTTCTGTCAATGGTTCAGGCTGCTCATGATGGTCTAATGGTGTGGAAGATATTTTTCTTGGCTCTTTTTTTAAACACCAACTGGTTTTAAACATCACAATGAGTTCACTGAACTTAAATGACCCCCAAAAGTCACCAGCTCTCCATCCCATAGAGCACCTTACAGATGTGGTGGAATGGGGGATTTTCATCACGACGTGCAGCCGACAAATCTGCAGAACGTTAGCGGTGCTATGATGTCATTATGGACCAGAATCCCTGATGAATATTTCAGGCACCCTGCTGAATCTACACCATGAGGAATTAAGGCACTTGTGCAGGCAAAAAGGTGGTCCAAACCAGTATTAGCAGGGTGTACTTCATATAGAGTCCAGTGAGTGTATATCTTCTATTTAACAGTAACTACTGGATTAGTCACGGATGCTGTGCTTTCCTTAGCAAGCAGTCAATGTGCTTTTCTGTGCTGAGTGGTGGGTGCTCCCTGTGCAGTTGCCCAAGCACATACTGTATCTGCCCTGCTGTGGATGACTGACAGTTTAGACAGCTGCTGACAAGATTAGAAACACAGGCACACACACAAACACACAGGTTCTTGACAGTCTGTCATGCACACACAGACTCATCGTCCAATATAAAGAGAGACTGGACCACCTAAATAAGATTGTGATGTAAAGTATGTCTCTGAGAAATTACTAAAAATATTTAGTATTTGCATGCATAATTTATTTATGAATAAATGAATGAAAAATAGGTAAACCCTTGTATATGTTCTACTTTACAATTTCCTTACATCACTGGAAATCCTGAGTCACCCTGCCCCGTGAGGCACTTCTCCTCAAACAATGTTTAGTGGTTCGCACAGCAGTTTGTGGCACAGCAATTTTGAACCCATCTTGATTGATTTCTTTTGGCAGCACAGCGAGCATTTACATATTAAGCACTTGATAAAGGTGGTATATCCAATATGTTAGAAAACAGCTGCCTATTTACCCATCCGACAGGTCCCAAGTACCATTAGCATTCACTTGCATTTCCCTTTCCAGCAATTTGTCAAATGTAAGTCCAGTAGTCATTGCTTTACCGCTGGTTTGGTCCACACCAACTCCGAGGGGTGAAATATGGCTCCTTAGCTGTTAAACGCTCTGCTATTGTGGTGCAGATTGTATTCATGAGAACAGGAGCAGAGAGGAAATAAGGTAGTTAAGATCAGCGCGAGTGAGCCAAAACAGTAAAGTTGGCACGGTAAAATAAAAGCCCTGAGGGTGTTAAAGCACTGCTGAGCTGTGTGGAGCTTTAGTCGAGTGATCACACACCATGTTTTTCCATGTCACGAGATCATCATTAAATAGAGTTTCATTAAGCTTGCTCTTTCTAGTCCTTAGTTTAATCTAAAATGTTTTAATACAGAAAAAAACTGAATAAACTATCTTATCTTTGGAAATGTGCACACAGATTTGAAAACATTTTCATGCAGTTTCCATTTAGCTTATCTGAAGCTTTGTGTGCTCATTGATTTGTCTACTCCAGCTATGGATTGTTCCAGTTTCTAACTCTTAAAAAAAAAAGTAAAACACTTTTGTCCCTTAGTCTCAAAGCCAATACATAAAAGCAGCAAAGTCGAGCTTTCTAAGCAGCAAACCTCCTACTGTTTTCCTGTTGTCCTTGTAATCTTCCTGTTGTCTCGTCCTAGCTTTCTCTCCGTCTCTATTTCTGAGTTGCTCTCTTGCACCTTCACTTTGCCATCTGTTAGCACACTAGTCCCACGTCTCTGCAGTGATCTTTATCTTAATAATAGCACCTTGGTGAAAACTTAACATGTGGACGAGCATGCCCAGCGGTTCACGAAGCGCTGGGTCAGCATGCATCAAACTGGACCAGCAAAACAGGAGGACTCATGTCAGCACATACTACTGCTACTCCAGTAATGCCAGTGCCAACCGAAGGCAGCCTGGCACTGATGCTCACTTTACAACATGAATCTATACCTCTGACATGGCCATTGTGTGTTTCAGCTCTGCACTATTCCATTCTCAGACAGCTATCGCCATCGTCATAAGCAATTACACTCTATAACGTGGACTGACATACGTTATGAGTGGCAGGCTGATTCGAATCTTGCTCAGAGTTATTCGGCAACTCTCTCCCCCTGCTTCTCCTGCTTTCTGCACCACTCCTATTTTACTCAGTCGGGCTAATATGCAAGTGATTACAGACGCATTAATGAATTTTCATCTCCGCACAACTCTGAATGGGGATTCGTTTATCATAACAAATGCCCACCAAAATAATTCCAACCTCTTTGCCTCAAATTAAATTTTGGAGGGCCTCAGAAATGTATTACTGCAGCGTTTTGGCACGCAGGAGGTCTGGCAGGAATACTTAATTGAGTTTTTATTTTTTTATTTTTTTTGCATAAATGCAATTTGGGCTTGTTCACGTAGACTCCACGGCGGTGCCTTTGACACAGAAATGGACAATGAGGAATTTCTACACGACTAAACGTGTCCCTCTCATAGCAACACTTAGACAGTTGGTTGTTTGATCACCTCCATTATCTAAGCGTCCTGCTGGCCCTGACAGCCACCTCCATTTCATAGTCATTAACAGGCGGCGGACGTGCACTTGTGTGTAAATGGCTAATATTCCCCTGCTGACATTTGGTCGGGAAGGGTGTAAGCTTAGCGTGCGCGTGTGAAATATGAGCAGGCACAAACACACATATAAACAAGCGGGCCCAATCATCCTGACTGTGGTTCCCCAGTAATTGGTTTCATTTAGAGGACAATGTTGCATAATGAAACATTAGGAATTAGCCCCTATATTCCCATCGCTCTACTGGCTGCCAACCTCATTTTAGCCATGTTATCTCCTGGTTACCAATGCACATTTATATGCAACACCCCACAGCTGCTTCAGCACAACTAGCCTTTTTAGCCAAGCCAGAGCTATTAATCCCCCTCCACCTGTGTACACTGCCCACTCCCGGTCATACTGCAAGTCAACTATAGGTCATGGAATTGAATTTGTCTTTAATGTGGTTCTAATGGTTTAGCTGATTATTTGACATTTCTTTCTCTCTACATGCAGACTTGTAGAGAGTAAAAATGTTGCCTTTTGTTAGTTTTGACCTCTGATTATTCTGTACGACTAAACCTAATAATGTATCTATCACAGCTTGTTGGAAGTTGTGAGAATTTTTTTTTCAGTGTTGGAATGCGGGATATAAACCTCTTATCAGTGATGTCGTATTATCATACAGGCCTCTGCCACTCTATTGACAGTTCATGGGAGACTGAGTTTGCGCTTTCATACAGTGCTGATCTGAATGTTTACATGCAAATGAGATTCGTATAATTAAAGTGCTATCAGTTTAGGACAGGGAAAACCTATGCTTATCGCATCAGAATCCGTTTATTTGCGGTCACAGTCACCTTTTCCATCTTCTCCAAATTACACAGGCACCAGTAAATGTTGGTCAACACACACCGAACTGGAGGTGGGAAGAAAGGGAAACAGAACTGAAATGCAGTAATCATCGCCTTTTCTATGTTTCCTTCTTTAGTTTATGTCCAAGAAGACCAGTCATTCTGTGTGTGTTGTCTTCCAGGGACGTAGGCCAGGCTACTTCTCCTTCCTGGATCCCTTCTCACCGGGTGTTTGGCTCTTCATGCTTCTGGCCTACTTGGCTGTCAGTTGCATTCTCTTTCTGGTGGCCAGGTAAGGAGCTCAACCATAAAATGCAGTCTGTACAGATAAGCGAGAGACAGGAGAAGAATGAGGCAAACAAATGGACTGGGTACAGAGAGTAAAAGCACACAAAAAAACGTTTCTTTGGGCAATATACGGCGGAGGAAACAGGTGTTTGTTCTCTCGCTTCTCTTTAGCCTCTGGTTGATCTTGAACATCACAGAGAAAGAGACGTTCTCCCACCAGTGGCAGGTCTCTAGCATCACATTGCCACCTGCTGGTCAAGGATGGCACTGCCACAACTGCTGCTGAAAATCATAATTTCCTTTGCAATGGAAATATTACTAGGTTACAGTATATCTAATGAAGATGCTTTAATGCAAGAAAATGCTAATTGAATTCTGCAGCACCTTACAGAATCAAATTAAAAGTACCAAGACCTTCAAATTTACCAGTTTTCTAAAGATAGCTCTACGGGTGGTCTTTGGTGTAATATGAAAATCATTTATAAATGTTGGGTGAGGTGGTTTAATCGTAGCAGTTTTGGAGATAATAATATATGTACTCCTTTTTTTAGGTGTTTACTAAGAATAATTTTTCCACCCGTGATCACAGTGGGAAATATGTTAAACGTCTGGGTTGTTTAAAGTTTTTTGTCCTTCTTTTGAACTTTGTCAAGTCAAGTCAAGTCAACTTTATTTGTCAATTCTGCCACATCTTCTTGTCCATCCTTGTTGTAATTATTTGTGACTCAGAAAGAAATTCTATCTTTGCCACGTGAGTCACATGGCTCGTTGGTTCAACCCAGCACAGAACAGAGTTGTCACAGAACTGTAGCTACATCTGAGCACCCCAATTACACCGCCTGCATCCTCACAGTTTAAGTAGGCAGAAGCGAAGCACAGGTTGGTTCTCCCTCTGCAGAGCCAAGGTGACTTTGTCCTCACTTGACTGAGTTGTTTTCTCGTCATCCTTCATCCCTCTTCCTATCTCCATTCCTCTCACTCCCCGTCTCTTGAGTTTTGCTCTTATCAGAATACATAATCTAACTTTCATTCCCACTCTCTCTTTCCCCACAGGCTGACACCTTATGAATGGTACAACCCCCACCCTTGTTTAAAGGGACGCTGCAACCTGCTGATCAACCAGTACTCGCTTGGCAACAGCTTCTGGTTCCCAGTTGGAGGCTTCATGCAGCAAGGATCCACCATTGCTCCTAGAGCTCTGTCCACACGTTGTGTGAGCGGAGTGTGGTTAGTATTGGCTCCAGATGCACGGTGCAATGCGCAGGTTTCTCCATCACGGAATGCAATTCATCAGTAACGCATTCTTGAAGCTTGATTCCAGATTTCAAGAGTGAGATTGTGCATTTGTGTGCACACGAGGCATCGTTTGTGTCTGTCTGTCCGCCTTTGCAGCTAGAACTTTATCCACCCATTAATCCATCCGCCATATCATCTACTGAATATCCTGTCATGTCTTCTCCTCTCAGGTGCGCAGTTATTTTAATCCTTCTACACCTCCACCCAGATCATTTATCTTCATGTGTCAGCCTGCCCATTTACATACGTTTGCAGGTGAATACATATGTTCTTGTCCGCTGCCTTTCCCACACAGGTGGGCCTTCACATTAATCATCATCTCCTCCTACACCGCCAACCTGGCCGCCTTCCTAACAGTGCAGAGGATGGAGGTACCGATAGAGTCAGTAGATGATCTGGCAGATCAGACGGCGATAGAATATGGCACCATGCACGGTGGATCCACGATGACCTTCTTCCAGGTTAGAAGTTACACACATTGCTGTATATGCCACATTGTTTATCCTCCTAAATCTTCACTCACATACATACACACTGTATGTAGGCACAGGCTCACTTCAGAGCACATGGAAGTCAATGGGTCATCTGTGATCAGCTATCAGCTGTCCTTTTCGTCACCCTCCTGTCCTTTATGTCTTCCTCCTCTAACCACAGGTTTTATCTGTTTCCTGTCTCTTTTTTGCCACAACCATTCAATATCCTTCTCCTCGGGGAGATGGGGCACCGTCCAGGTCCCACGCTATCCTCTTTCATCTTTTGAGATTTGACCTCAGCGAGAAAAAGAGAAAGACACTGAGCAGGAGAAAAAGAGGGTGTTAGAGGGGAGAGAGACAGTGAAGGATGATATTGGGCGAAGGGAAGAGAGATATTAGCCTTGTATTCCTTGGCGCTTTCAAGTCCACTGGACCTTAAATAACTCAGGAAAGACAGGCTGAGAGAAAGTAAAAGACAGGTGGAGGTGTTAAGTGAAGTTTCTGTTCGGAAGTTTCTCAAATGGGAAAGAGGTGCGCTAATAGAAAAAAAAAAAAAGGGGGGGGGGGGGGCGCTCTGATGTAACACTCCATCAGTCCAAAAAAAAGCAAACCAAACCAAACCAGAAGAGGAGATGCTTTGTTAACTGTCTCTCACTCTCTGTGCCTGTTTCTTCTGATCTTATCTGCTCTTTCACGCCTGTGCAGAACTCCCGCTACCAGACGTACCAGCGCATGTGGAACTTCATGCAATCAAAGCAGCCCAGCGTGTTTGTGAAGAGCACAGAGGAGGGGATCGCCCGTGTCCTCAACTCTAACTACGCCTACTTGCTGGAGAGCACGATGAATGAGTACTACCGCCAGAGGAACTGCAACCTGACTCAGATTGGAGGACTGTTGGACACTAAGGGCTATGGTATCGGCATGCCGCTGGGTGAGTGGAGGACAAAGTGTTGAAAATTGGAGGACACTTGAAAGTGACGGATAAGCAAAAGAAGGAGGAACTTGGTCAAGTAGTTGAAACATCTGATACAAGCCGCAGAGAGACAGAAGCCAGTTTGCCGGTGTAATGCGGGGGCAAGGCAGTTAGTGTAAAACGAAGTCAACGGAGGAGAGAGCTGATGGTTTCGCTTAAATGTGCTGTATAATTCATTCCCCTTCTTAGTTTCGCTAAGAAGGGGAATGAAGAGCAGAGGCATTAGTTGGAGGATACACCATAAACGTCACATTGGAGAGTTGAATAAAAAAGTAAAGCCTCAGCAAAGCCAAACCATTAGCTGCTATCATGGGGCAAAATGATGCAAAAAGGGAGAAACTAAGAGAGCTTTAATGCTAGATTTTAATAGAGCAGCTGTTGCCATGCTGTGATGGGAAAAGTGAGGACAAGAGCGAGGGAATTTGAGATATTGTTCCTGTGAAATGTGAAACAGTTTCTGCGCGACGCTCGCTGCTCCAAGAGTATAAACACGGGGTTTACTTACACTTTGATCTCAGATTGAGTCAAACACACCTTAAAGTAAACAGATTAATTTCCATTCCTTTGATGTTTAAAGGATAGATAAGCCGTCTTTTTAGTGGATGATGGCGCCGTGACCTGTAAAACATTGGAAGATCATTGTAAGCTCCTTAATCTCAGGTTTGAAATCTTCATTTTGTTGGTTCGGGCGAAGCGTGGTGAAGTGACGCGCTCTCACATTTGCCATGGCATACCAGAGGAAAAGGAAGAAGAAGAAGTCAAGGAAATGTCCCTCTTCGTTTGTACCGTGTCCCTCATTTACTTTTCTCTTCCCTTCAGGGTCAGTGTACCGTGACGAGTTCGACCTAGCCATCCTCAAACTGCAAGAGGACAATCGTTTGGAGATCCTGAAGAGGAAGTGGTGGGATGGCGGCAAGTGTCCAAAAGAGGAGGACCACCGTGCTAAAGGTTTGTCTCTGCAGTTAAATCCACATCTTGGTTGATGATCCCAGAAAACGCTTATCCCGCCCAATCCCGGCATCTCTCCAGGTCTAGGGATGGAGAACATCGGTGGCATCTTTGTGGTGCTGGTGTGTGGCCTGCTGGTGGCAATCTTCATGGCAGTGCTGGAGTTTGTCTGGATGTTAAGGCACGCGCCAGGAAATGAGGTGAGAGAGGGCTATCTAACCTGCATCTGCTTTGTCTCCCTCTCCCCTCCCTGGCACCTTCCCCCTCGCGGAGCTGCTAGGCTTTTCCACAGTGCGCAGCTTTGACAGGAAGTTATGAGCACAAACCAAAGTAATACCTCGTGTGTTTTTTGTATTCATAGCAGAGAAGCATCCATTCGTATCATATATATATTACACAGAATAATCAAACTGTACAGTAAAAAAAAAAAGATCTTGTTTTAGTTATATTTACAGGGTGCTGCAAATCTTTATCTCAGCCTTAATCTAGTGACCTTATTTAAAACACACTCGCTGTTGTGTCCACGATTGTCAAAAACTACATGTCCTTCTCACCATCAAAAGTTGAAATATGGACAGTAGAGGATTAGTCGTGGCAGTCAACTAGAACTTTGCGCTAAGAATGGACTTCAAGCAAGGGCGTCAGATTTGTTTTGGAAGCAAAAAGAAAAAGACTGCTTTTTGGAAATGTCAGGACCAAGAGTTGCTACAGCTCGGTCACACAATGTTGGTTATTCAAAGTAACAGGGGACAAAACAATGATAAATGACACCTGAAACACTTAAAAGTGCCACGCTATGATTTGAAAGTTGCTGATACAGAAGCAAAATCACCAGCCAATAATGCAAATATTTCAAACTGCATCAGCACATTAGCTGGCCTCTGAGGCTGAAGACAGACCTGCATTATTACAACCTCTTAAACAGCAACTTTAAAAATATTTTTTTCTAATTATTTTTAGGAAGGAAGGAATTTAGATGCATTTTTTTACTGGCGAAAGTTGAAAGTGCTTTTGAAAATTATGCTGAAAGTGTGTGGTATTGTAATCCAGTATGAAAATATGATTTGAATGTAGCTTCATCTGGAGAGAGGACTAGCAAGCAACCTGAGTGTCCTCAGCATCCAGATGTTCTGCTGTTTGGAGGATTTTATTTATTTATTTATTTTTCACAATAGACAGATGAGTTTAGTGCTAGTGGAAGGGGCTCTCCTGCGATATTCATGAGGGAGGACTGCTGTCAACCACAAAAGATGACTTGAAGAATCAGAGAAAAATGTGCATGCAGTGATATCATTACCTCCGATGTGATTTCTTTAACAGATACTTGAATTACTATTTGGCACTGTGATTTTAACTCAATAAACATTCAGAAAGTCAAAAACCCACTCATGTGATTTCTTCTTTTGGAGCAGTACAGATTGATGTCTCACTCTAAATTGTGAACCCTGTGTGTGTTTGTGTGTGCGGGTCTATATATGTATCGTTCACATTTGTGCATCTGGATTTACGCCTGTGTGCATCTGTACAGTGTTCGTGTGCAGCTTGTGTGGATTGGTGATGAGTTTCTTTTCCGTCTTGTGCTTGAGCTGCGGTGTCACGTCTGTGATTGCGATTATTTGAGTTTATATCCTTGTGTTACACCCAGCGGATCACTTGATCACCAGTGCCGGCGATGAAATGCGTGTGCTACACTTGTGGATGTGAAAAGTAAATTTAACAAGCCCGTGTGTATTATATGTGTCGCTGATTTCACTGCTGGCCGCTCAGTCTACACCACCCTATTGTCTGTCGCCCATGCAATTTCCCTATTATGAACATAACCCTGAAATGTATCTGTTGTGTGTCTTTGATGTCACTCCGTCTGTCCTGATCGAGCCCATAGTCAGTGAGTTGTCTGGCCTCTCTCTCTTTCTCTCCCTCTCTTATTCCCCTCTGCCCTATCTTTGTTTTCTTCCCGTGTGTGTGCTTGCAGCAGTCAGTGTGCGAGGAGATGCTGCGGGAGCTCCAGGGGATCGTTCTGTGTCGCGACAGCCTGCAGGCGAGGCGCCGCCGGGCGGCGTCGATGCTGCGGCCACGGCCCTTACCTCTGGAGGAACGTCGGGCGCGAGCTGCCGCTGTCAGCCTCAGCAACGGAAAACTGTGCGGGGGCACGGGACTGCCTGAACCCCTTTCCCACAGACTGGCGCAGGAGGCTGCCCTGGTCGCGAGGGGGTGCAGCCACATCCGCATTTGTCCCGAGTGCAGACGCTTCCAAGGACTGAGGATGCGCCCCACAGGGGGCCCAGGGGCCCTCCCATCTCCCACTCACAGTGAGGAGAGCATAGAATGGGACAAGACCACAAATAGCAGTGAACCTGAATAACGCCCCACAATTCCAGCAGGACTGCCTTTCCCAGCAGCCACCTCTCTTCTTTCCAGGGATCAAAGATCATGTGGCATTTTAATTCTGCCATCCAGAGTTTATCCTTAAAGGACAGGACAATGCTGTGGACTTTCTTTTACCCCTGAGGCGACCGCCAGCAGTGAGTTTTTGGAATCTCTCCTTGGGCGAACTTTTTCCTTGGTCATAGGAAAAACTGATGAGTCTGTCTCGTTGTGTTCTGTCCCTGGTGGCCCTCTGTACTGTGTAAAACAGGACAGACAAAAACAGCTACGGGGCATTTGTACTATGCAGTATTTCCAGTCATTTATCATTGTGCTGTTTCTTTTCTTTCCTTTTTAAATTATTTCTGTCCTCTGTTGGATTATCAGTACTGAATATTGTTATTCTATTGTTAAAAAAAAACAAAAAAACTTTAAACAAGGTCCTTTTTTTATCTGACAATTTACTCTAGGAACGTATATTGCCTCTGAAGAGCTGCAGAGATGGACAGATTAAGGCAAGGTCAACCTTCACGTTCTTTTGTTTTGAAAGTGCCAAAAACCACAAGCATCATCTTGTGGCTGAAGAAAGCACCACAGCCTTGAGAAGACGGCAAACTCATGTGAACATAGAAAACAAAAGGACAGACATGCGGACACAAAGACTCCTTTTATAGTAGTGATATTCTATTAAAAAATGTTTTAACTGTTGGGATCTCTGAAAGACAGTGATGCATGTCCAGAGGTGTTGGCCAGTGCTCACTGAATGAGTCATCCTGAAGTGGTTCTAGGGTAGTCAAGTCAATTTAAAGAAGGATTTTCTCTTTTGAATACCTGCTTAAAAACATGATGTCTACGCACACAAACGTACATGCACAGAGACATCCTCTTATATCATCCCTCTTCTGTGCACTGACATTACTTTCTCCTCCATCTGTCCTCCATGTCTGACCCATTTATTGTCCTTGCACCAGTCCCCTTTATGCTCTCTTGCTTACAAATATATCCATTGTAAGTTATAAGACATCATTTTTTTTCTTTTTTTTTCCAGCTTACATATTCAGTATGTGTATCAAACCCAGCATATATTAGAACCAACCAAAAACAAAGTCCTCGGTAGAGTGAAGGGATTTTTATATCAGCAGTTGGCTTGGCTTGTTTTAAATGTCAGCGCAGTTAAACTTTTATTGAAAGTGATATTTTACACACTGCTCGTAGGAGACAGCCTGGGTGCACTCTGACATTTTGATACTATAATTTTTTGCAAAAAACCCCAAACCAAACTTAGAATACATTAACCAGGCTAAAACGTGGCGGATATTTAATGCAAAGTGATGCAGGAGGAGCTGAAACACACTTATTTTTCCTTTCCCCACTACCAAAGTATTTGAAATGATTAAAGTCAGTTACCTTGATTTGCTTTGCGTCAGCCATAACTTGAAGAAGTGAGAATCCACCACCAGCAGCACGAGTCTTAAAATCGCCTCACTTTCTGCTCGCATTACAGAGACATATGGCTTATTTTCCTGCTGTACCGGCTGGTTTGAAGGTGTTTCTGTACGATAGCCCGACCGTTTCACAGCGAGAATCAACGGTCATCCAGCTGTCTGCTCCGCTTCTTGCTTATCTTTGATGTGCCCATCATTTTAAATCTGCCCATCAGGTTCTGTCAATCACCATCCCTCAAAACCAGGCTGCCAACACGACACAGCTTGAAGGTACCGCTGCAGCGTCTCTTGTTCTTTTATTAGCCACGAAAGCTTTCTGCCTCCATCCTTTTTCATCTGCAGGTTTTCATGCTTGGAAATTCATGCATATTATCATTTATCATCCTGTAGTAGAACACAACATATTTTGATCACTCTGTCGTTTAAATGAACGTTTCATATTCATGGCAACAAACTCTGCACATCTTCAAATACAGTACATCTAATCCTCCAGTAAGGAGCTGCTGTGTTATCGACCCACAGAATTGTGTGTATTTACAGTATAATCATCGATATAATCATGGAGGTGCCCGGTAATGTGTGTTTTATTATTGCAGCAGTAAACTCATTTGGTGTTCATTATGTTCATAGGACAGAGAGATGCGCACTTAGGTGTGTGCAGTGATTTAATGGAAACATTTAAACGCACACAGACACACACCATGCAGAGTCATTCCCAGGATCCTCACAAACAGTTAATGTACACTTTCTGTAGCTCCATATATAATAACAGGTTTAAATCAAATTGCCAAGCAGATGGCAAAGAAAGAAGACCCACAATTCATTGTTTTTTTTTAATGAAAGGTATTTCTATCCATTTGCTGAATGTCCCTAAGAAACTCATGAGAGTTTGAAGGCTCTCGCTGCTCTCAGTGCTAACTTCTTAAACACTCAAAACATTTACAGGGGGTGCTAAATCAAGCGTAGTTGGAATGAGATTGCCAATTACCTTGAAGGCACGAAGAGCAGTAGAGTAAGAATTAAAACAAATCCCACAGAAACACTGGGCGACCTTCTCTGGGAGACCACTGAGAGACGGCTCGGTTTGGCTGCTATGTTTTATATGCTTTATTTTTCTTATGTTGACATTTTTATTCCATTATAAATACATTTCTTAAAACAATCTCAATTCTCTGGGATTGCTGGCTTTGTCTCCTTTGTTTTTTTGCTGCTGTGATGTATTTGACCTTCTGGGCTGTTTAGATATGTCATGCTAAATAGCTTCTGAGTGCGCTTTCTTTTTTTTGTTTTGTTTTTTGGGGGTTTGTTTTAGGTGAGGAGGGGGGCATTATACAACCGGGAGAAATATGCAGAGCACGCAGCTGCTTTGTTGTGACATATACGCATGCAGAGAAGCATCAGGGACGTATGGGTTTCTGGATGAGTACACAGAACAACTATCGAGTGAACCAGAAGGATCTGATGCACCCACATCTCGTTTCTCCCCCATAACTGAATTAACGTCTGCTCACTTGTGAATCCTTTGAACAGCTGAGAATTTGTGTGGGTAGGCAGTCTAACAGAGGCTAATGAGTTTAACAGCTCGCTCATGTGCTGTATAAGCGTCCACTCACTCGTAGCCCATCTATCACTGTGATTTTTCAGTGGATATTTCCGTCTCCTCGGGACAGTGATTGAACGCCACACAACACCCTTGGTCTGATTTATACTTGAATTCAGACTGCATCTCCCTCTCCTCTCCTCTCCTCCTCGAGTGCCTGCCTCACAATCTTCCCATTGCAGCGTTAGAGATGACAAGTTTTCTTTTCAGTTTGTCACCACCCACAGCACGCGCACACATGCATTAAAAGCGTGACACACTAAACACTCACCGCCACCTGTATGTCACAGCTGTGTCAACTTTATTTTATCGTGCTCGTGCTTTTCCTTTTTACCCCTGGTGCTCCAGGTTCATGAATTAAGCGCATCTCTACCCACCCTCTGCCTAGCTGCTGTTGGATTTATGGAGCACATGATGAGCATTGAGTGCCTGCAGAGGTGGGTGAACAATCTACTTCACTCCTCGAGCTCACCCAGCTGTAGCACATAGCAATACCAGTTTCCTTGTAGTTGATTGCTGTCGTGCAAGGATTAAGGAATTACAGTGTACCGTGTAGTCACCCTAACAGCTAACATCCACATACACTTGGAAGAATAGCTTGTTCCATGTTTGTTTTTTGCTTCTTTTGGGGGGGAACCTGTCTATAACATTTTGGGATATTGAGATTATTTAAAAAATATATATATTGTCTATACTGTTGCATTTAGTATGACTTTACTGCCTTTATAAGATGGTAATTATTGAATCTATTCATTTTATTCCTGCTAATATTGCATCCCTCTGTCAAACAATTGCTTTTTCCTAACAGACACCAGATTTTCCAGGGGTGGCAGTATTCATAACAGTATTCAAGACAAGGCTACACATTTTTTAGTAAGCGCTTTCCTGCTGATTTTATTATTTGCAATTAAGTGATTGCAATTATTTGCAGAAGGCTTCTTGTTGTTGTGTGCTCAAAGAAAAGGTATTCAGAGTGCAGAAATTCTCTATAAGGTGAGGCGCTGTCAGGGCTGTTATACAGCCTTTTGTTCGCTGACAGTTGTTGAACATATTGACCAAAACATCTTGACATTGTTTGTCTTTCAGAGAAATAAAATGGAGCTTCATTTCCTTTGTGTTTGTTCCCTCACTTTTCACTCCTGCCTTGATCGATGCCTCACAGAAGAGGAGGCACTGATCACCTATTTGTGTGCGAGTGGGTGGGTGGGTTAGAGAGAGCGTGCGTTTTTTTTTGTTTTTTTGTCCTATGTGATTTCTCTCATGCTCTTGGCAACACAGGAAATCACAGCCTTGACATTTTGCTGTATTGTTACCCGCATACTTGACAAAGGTGGTACACAGCCAAGTCAAATTCCAGTGGAAGCGTAGCCGACAGCGCTCTTTGTCACATACCCACCAGAAAAATGAAAGTAGAATCCTGTTCTTACAGAAATCCGTCACGTGGGTACTTAATAACAAAAACCAGGCTGGATTTAGATTTTTTCTAATAGCGAGTTACAAAAGTCATTTGTTTTGGCCAGATCGCTGGTCTTTGCTGACCCTGGATGAAGGTTTCAATGACAAAGATAAATATCAGTCCATTTCTGTAATGGCTCCATCATTTGCACAGCATCGTTTGTCTTTGGGCGAATGCTCCGGTGCCAGAGTTCAAATTAGAATTTGTTCATTAATCGTGTTCACGGAGGACAAAAATGGTACGTTTGTTCTGCCTGCTAGAGAATGTATAGAGAAAGGTAAACCCACAGGGAAAAGATACACCTATTAATGGGCTAATGATATATATATATATATATAGATAGATAGATAGATAGATAGATAGATAGATAGATAGATAGATATATAGATATATAGATATATAGATATATAGATAGATATAGATATATAGATATATAGATAGATAGATATGAAGTACATTGGTCTAAATATTGGCCATGTATTGGCCATACAAAGCTCTAAACTGGATGTTGGCTGCCTTTTGTTCCTCTGTCAGTATGATCCCACACTGCTTCTGGGGAGGCCAATCCATCACTGATAGTGTTCCGTTTTGTGTGTTTCTGTCCAGGTATGCTTTTACTGCATTGGCAGTGCGTTTAGGATCATTCTCATGCCGAAAAGTGAAGCTACTTCTAATCAGATGCTTTCCAGATGGTCAAAATGTGAAAGTACTTCTCTCCCTTCATACATGACAAGATTCCCAACACCACTGGCTGAAATTCAGCCCCAATCCATGACTCCTGCGTGTTTCACAGATGGCTGTAGACATTCACTGTTCTACCAACAGTTTCAAATTTGGACTCATCTCTCTATAAAGACCTGTTGCCTCTGATTTTCATTCCATACCTCAGACTCATCTCCCTCTTTCCCTTCTTTAAAAATGACTACTTGACAGCCACCCTTCCACTGAGACCGTTTCTGATGAGGCTTTAGCAAACAACAGATGGATCTACTGAAGGGCCACCATTTCTCCAGTTTTTAAGGACACACTACACATGCAGACATATGCAGTGTTTTCAGCTAATAGCTCTTTAGGGATCAACTTATTGGCTAATAAAATACTATTTTATCCCTGTCAAACTTTAGTATCTTTAGCATCTTTTCAGCAATTTGAAGAAATGGGAACAAATTTTGTGATTAAATGATTCATGGTTCAGTCTTAAGTGGCTTTACAAACAAAACAACAGTCTGCTGAAAATGGATTGGATTAAAAAGTAGTGAAAAAGCAGCTAAAGTCCAAAGAAAAACTCTAAGGACCTTCAGAAAGCCTGGAGAAATATTGCTCAAGACCACTTTTAATAAAAATCTGACTCCTAGGAAGGAAAATGCCAAAAATATGGGGGTAGTTCAAGACTTTTGCACAGTATTCTGTGTAATACAAATATTTTTTTCTTTTTGATGCTTAAACTGTATTTGACTTATCCGTGCTTGCTAATACATCTTACATCACTGACTGCTGCAGGGCTCATAACATTTCCACTATGGGAAGATAAGGCACAATGTGCCAATCGTTATTTTTCTGCACCTCCACTAACAGGTGCACTATGCCGTTCTCATTTTAACTACTGCAGTCGACCCCATTAAGCCCTAAACAAACTGAAACGGGCAACAGCTCCTGGTGGTTTGAGGAGGAAATATTGGTTTTCTGATAAAGGCCTCTTGCGTTCCTGCGTTAATTGGCCGTCAGAGCACAGAATTATCTTAATCCCTGAGTAAATGATTCATTACCCCACAGATGAGAGACTAAAAAAATGCACTGGGCCACGAAAAAAGATGCACAAGTGACAGCCTTGAAAATAAAATGTGTTTATCTCGCTCCCTGCAGGGAAAGTCAGGTTTTATTGATGCGGGGCAGCTGAATCATATTTCCTGCATGATTAATTTTTTTTCCCCCCGTGCCTTTCTCTTGTTATTGCTTAGTATTAATCTGCTTGATACTGAGCATTAGTTGTGGTTTTCTTTACATCGTGCATTTGTTTCACGTCTCCCTCGTTGTCTTTTACCATATTTGGCCTCTCAAAGGCTGCCACAGAGAACTCTATCTACACTGCCATCTCTGCTAGCATGCATACTTGTTGTGAAATCACAATAGTTACAGTTTTTTCACCAACAGCTTTATTCATTTTCACCACTTTCTTGTAACCCCCAAATGTTTTATGCAGCTTTTTTGGATTTTGCGCTCTTCTATATAAACAACAAAATACTTACTGTACTACTAATATTCATATAAAATACAGTATACACACTGTAATGCTCTAATAGCAACCGAGTGTCAGTGGCCACCATCTTTCTGACCACAAGCAGTCATTTGCTACATCTAGTGGGCGCTACATGCCACTACATGGTGATCTATTTCCTATTCAAAAATATACATTAACATCCATACAGTTACAGGTGAGCCATACACAGCACTCTAGCAGATCAAACAGAGTCAGTGCTGTAGCTACAGCATTAAACAAACACATCTCACTGCTGTTCTTACTGTATATGTCAGACTCCTGTATTTTAAAGATCCAGTGCATTTAGGCCAAATTCAGAGAGCAGCTCCTTGTACTTTTGATGAAGAGTTGCGCTTTCGTCTTCCCAACCCTGTCGAGTCGCAGACAGCTGGGAACTCAGGCTGTCGAGAGTCTCCTGCAGAAAACATGGGCAGCATTAAAATGCAAGCTAAGATTTTCCCTTCAAGTCACCGACTTGTCCAACCTGATTTCCCTCCCTTCTTAACCACCTTTATCGCTGATGAGTTGTAAGGGTGCACTGAAGGAGGTTTAATTAGATTCTGTGTCATACTTGGGAAGAGAGGAATAATGTTAATTACATATTAAAATCCTATCTCTGCGATCAGAGGCTGAGCCCTCGAACAGGGCTCTAAGCTTGACCACTTACCTTTGAAGATCTGAGCGCTGAAAATTTGCATGCACGGTCTGTAGCCAGCCAGTCGGACTCGGGCGCTAGCGAAAAGGTCAACAATGACCCCATCCCTCATCCATTACATCTTAATGGAAAAAACTCCCAGGAAGTGGAGTTTTTTTTTCTTCATATTTGTCTCACTTAAATGTTTTGGGTCATAAAACAAACTCTAATATTAGATGGAGATAACCCAAACAAAAAGCTGAGTTCAGTTTCACCTACCACACCCAGTTTAAATTGCTGACATAGCTGTTGAATCAAGTAACAAGAACCTGTCTGACAAAATGTAGCAGGCTAAAAGGCAACACATCATACCTCGATTGACAGAAAACAACTGAGAAACAAAGTGATTGACATCTATCAGTCTAGAAAGGGTTACAAATCCATTATAAGGCTTTAGGACTTTATGGAAAAAAACTTTATCGAGAAAACTTGGAACAGGGTTGTACCTTCCCAGGAGTGGCAGGCCTAACAAAAAAAGCACTTTGATGACTCATCCAGGAGGTCACAGAAGAACCCAGAACAACATCGAAAAAACCGCAGGCCTCACTTGCCTCAGTTATGGTCAGAATTCGTGATTCAACAATAAAAACAGATTGGGCAAAAATGGCATCCATGGGTGAGTTCAAGAAGAAAAACCACTGCTGAAAAAGGAGGCGCTCATCTCACATTTGCCAAGCGACATCTTGATGAACCCCAAGGGCTTTTTGAACATTTTCTGTGGATTGACGAGACAAAAGCTGAACTTTTTGGAGGTTCCCTATTACATCTGGCATAAAACTAACACAGCATTTCATAAAAAGATCATCATAACAACAATCAAACTTGGTTTTGTGGTGTGATGGTTTTGGGCAGCTTTGCGGCTTCAGGACCGCATACTACTCATACTTATAAACCCTCCAATATAGATGAATGAAAATAATTCTGCGAAGAAGAGTGTCTCAAATGGCATGTAAATGTCACAAATATGCAAAAAAATAAGAAATCAGGAAGAGGGCGAATACTTTTCTACAGTACTATTTGTGGCTTCTTTTTTACAGCAGTTTCTCGGTCATGTTGATTGCATAATTTCTGGTGTTATGTGCATTGATAGTTCCGTAAAGCTGCAAAGTTTGTAATGGCGTAGTAAGTTTTCTGAACTAAGCACCATATTTCAGGCCTGCTTATAGAAGAAAATTACTCACTTTGCATCAGAAGTTAGTGAGGACATTCTCTGCCTGTGCAGCTACACTTGGAAAAAAAACAACTACTACTCTAATGGTCATAAAAGGACATCTTTATTGATACGTACTAAGGTGTCAAAACTTGAGGATACAGGGGAAGTCGGCAAATGTAATTTTATGGGGGAAGAATTAAACCACATCTATACTGTACACTCCATCTAGTTTTTTAGTATTTCTGACCTACGATTATTAGACATAAACTGCAACAGTTTTCATCAGCATCATCATAATATCATATGAATCATTTTTAAGTCACTTAACTCATATAAAACATCCATGACAGCTCTATTAGCGTTTGCTTAGTTTGTCATTTTAGACTGAATTATCAGCTCAAAGCAATCATACATTCAGGAGCTTGACTTTCAAGAAACTGGTGTCATCACACTGCTCTTTCAAGAGTCACACATAAGCTGCAGGTCTGACCAACAAGAAGAAGTGCTAGTACCTTCCCATGACTTTGGCGGAACTAACTCTGAGATCAAGTTCTCTGAGGGTTGGCCTAACTGCACATACAAGACAAAGCTGCCCCACATTGTGCAAAAGGTTACCTCAAATGGGTATTTTCGTATACGTGTAGGCTTTCAAATGCGTATTGTTGCCACAGTGTGTTCTTGAACTGCCTTGTGTTGAAACTCACATGAAGGATCTTCTCATAGTCTGACTACATGTTGTCCAGCTTTTGTCGAAGGTCTGCTATGATGACATCCTTCTCCTGCTCCTCTTGCTTACGCTCACTTTTCTCTTTACTCAGTTCCTCCTGGGATAGGGCTATACAAATACAGAGAGTAAACTCTTATGTGGATCCATTTGTTTGATTATACTTTAAATATAGATAGACCATACCAAGGTCTTCCTTCAGTTGGCTGACTTCCTGTTCCAGTTTCTTCACCTTGTTGGTCAGTTCGGTCTGCATGGTTTTGTACTGGTGACTGAGGTCTAGAATGACATTTGCGTCAGCTATTTCAGACTTCATTGCTGATTCACTTTGAAAAGCTAATACAGCAATCAGCTTAAGCGCCCGGCTAATTAGATTTTTTGTTCCTCAAAAATTACCCTAACCTCGGCAAACACACCCCTTGTCCTCACTCCCAAAGGGATCCGCACTTTGATCAGGTTATTAAAAGACGGACTAATTTTGGATTCGTGCCCCGTCTGTACCCACCCCAGTAGATGTCCCTGTGGTCTTGTCTCTCGCGCTGCAGCTTCTGTTCCATGTCTCTTACACGTCTCCTCAGGTCAGCTCTGTCTGACTGGACCCTTCTTAAAGCCTCACACTGTAAGGCTGCAGGACGTCACACAAACACATGCAGGCATTGAACGTACAAACCAGAGGGAGCTTTCTTTGTTTTTTGTTTCCATAAGCAAAAGTGGAAATTACTTTCTTATCAAAACTTGTATTGATGCAAACTAAATTATCCATTAAACATGCCCAAATATGCAGTCAAGTTTTAACATGTGGGCTTTCATTTCCACTTGTATTGCTTTTAGACGTTTTAAAACATGTTTTGTTTTTGTTTTTTACTATTTTCTATCCTTTTATGGGCCAAAAGACTGATCTTTTAATAACTCACTTAAAATCTATATACAAAATCTATATATGGGACATCAGCGATTTAAAAGGGAACAGACATGACAAGGAATGGATCTGCTAACAGTCGTTTTCAGTTTGACCCTTTATGTAATAATCATACAATCTGTTTTTATTATTTATAAAGGAATAAAAGGCTCACCTATGTGATCCTGCAGAATGGCTATATCCAGAATACTGTGCCTATGCTTTTCTTCCACGTCATTTTGACCTGTAACAACACAGAAATATGTGTAAGAAATAGAAGATCTGCAGTCACGAAAGAAAAAAAAGCATCTCGATTACATTTTTCTGGACTTTTCTCTGCGGTCTTTTTTGTCTTCTTCTTCGGGGACATGCCTGTTCAACCCACGGACACGCACAGGCTCACAGAGGGCCTACGCTTACTGTATGGTGGTGAGACTCTGTTGCTGTGCACTGGTTGCTGAGTGAGCAGCCATAAAACAAAGTGTCCGGTTTAATTGATAGTTGAGTGACTTTTACAACAGCCAGTCACACATGACTGGGGAACGCGCACAGCGCCAGCTGCCTTCAGTATATGTGAAAGCGTCTTTTGTTGCTAGGGGTTACCGAGGAACGAGCTGGGAGAACTCAGAGATGCACTCAGCAGCATCTCACTGAGATTTTATGAATGCTCTACAGGAAGACGCGCGTGCTCGGTTACATTCATTTATCGAGAACGCGCTTTAAAAAGAAGGCGGGGAGTTTAGGGTTTGGGCAGCGGGGAGAGAGACGAGAGGGTGGGGGTTAACGGAAGAGGACGTACAGGAAAGGAAAGGGCCGCACATACACGTCAGAGGGGGGAAACAGAAAATGCTGGGCAATGTTTAAATCCCATAATTATTTATTCACCCTAGTTCCCGTCTATGACCGTGAGGCTTTCGCAGCTTTAAGTTCAACTTCCTCTCCTCGGTCGTCGCTGAGCGCTTTGTGTCATCAGCCTCGCAGCCCGCAAACGAGTGCTGACAGTGTCACACAGCCTCTGAACTTCCCCTGAAGACACGGCACAGCCGAAAAGAGCTGCTGCTGACAAAAGAGAGGAACGACATCGCGGCTTGGACGGAGGCGAGGACACGCTCGAGTCCTGCGAAGAAACCGTTGCCATTGTCCTCCAGCTGAGGGCGAGAGGAGCCAGGTCTGGTGCTCCGTTAATTAGCCTGCGTGGGTCCCTGCAGAGAGAGAGGGAGACGCTGAGCAACGCAGCCTGCTAGCTGCGGCACAGAGGGGGACTTGTGCAGGGTGTGAGTGACCGTTGGGCTTGTTTTATCCACAATCTGGACATTTATCTACCAAATAATCATGTTATATTTACTGATGGGAGCCTTTATCCAATAGTCATCTCTTCCTCCCTCATTTTACCCCCGTTGGACCCTGGCTCGGATTCGCCGCTCGGGCGCTGTCCTCACAGGGGGTACGGGATCACCATCGCCCGGTCCAACCAACTCCAGGCGGCGGTTCGGTCCCCCTGACCCCCTGCCCTGCCTCACCTCGCCTGTCTGCCGCTGTGGCCGACCCTAGCCGAGCCCGAACATGGCTGGGAACCTGAAGAAAGGCGGGGGGATCATCGGAATGATGAAGGATGCCTTCCAGCCACACCATCACCACCTCCACTCCCATCACCAGCCCGGGGCCGTGGACAAAAAGACGGTGGAGAAATGCTGGAAACTAATGGACAAGGTTTGTCAACGTTAAGCCGTTAGCGTTTGCTTACGCGTCGGATGGCTAGAGCGACTGCTAGCTAACCGTAGCTAACTTGCGATAAGCTAGCTAATCTTCGCCTGCTGAAGGTCTGTTGTTGCTAAGTTAGCTAACAGGCTGGTACAGGATATGGTTAGCTAACTTTAGCTCACAGATAACCTGAACTCTTGTTTTGTTCGTCATGTGGCACGCCACTTTCGTAGCAGCTTAATATTAACTGGCATAGGAAGGTTTAGTTTATTACTTGGCAGGGTTGTTAACACTTTCGGGTAACTACTCTTTAGTTGTGAAACCGCGGTGCATAGCGTTACATTGTTTGACCACGGCTAAATATTTTAAGGTATATCACAATCTTTAGCTCTAACAGGGAGGTTAGTATTCTTTAAATATGTCACATAAGAGCTGAATCTAACGACTTTGTGACAGGAAATTGAAATACAAGGGCTCCCAGCACTGCAACGGTGTCTCCTGTAGCTCGTTTATGAAAAATCTATAGTCAGCTGTCTGTCAACCCTTGAAAATTGTAGCAAATTGTTTAGAGAACAAGAAAAGTACGCATTTTACGTGTCCAGCTATGGTCTTTACCAGGGGAGAGTCATCTCACTGCTTTACTTCTCGGAAAAAAGCCTGCAACAGTTTGACCCCCAGTTTCCTGTGAGATTCACACACGGCTTTTTTGTTTCTCAACTTCCAACGCGACGGCATTATAAACTATGATGCCTTTGCAAAACTACTAGCACATTTAAATGTGTTTTGCTTAGTCGAGCCTCAATTAGCTCAGACAAGAACACAAGTGGCAATGAAACGTTGATCTTTATTATCACCTTGTTTTCTGTGAATGTTCAACACTTCTGTAGAAAGCTTGTCTAATGCAGACCAAACAAGAAAGAAGAGGGAGGCTGCTGATCTGATCTGCCACACATTAAACTACCTGCCACCTATCAGTCTGGCTCTTGCAGTTTACAGAAGGGATTATTTTGCCATGTTAATATGGTTTTATAGAAACTGATTGACTGGAAGAAAAACAGCCAGATAAAGGAATATCTTACGGTACCTTAAAAAAACAAAAGAAGCTATACCTCACGTGCCAAAGTGATTTTACTCCATGGGACTGCGTAAAATAGCAGCAGAAGTATATTTAGTATTATCTAAAGTGAACCCACAAACCAACAGATACCACTGACCAAGACCTGCAGAACTATAACGCAGTTTCTCCTTGAAAACACCTCCCACGTAGAACTAAGTTAAATTTTGATCCTCTGTTACTTGCTGTACCTGTTCTTCAAGATCTGTGTCTGTTGCAGTGGCTAATTTTTATCTGTTGTCACATCAATTTTGTGCTGCCTGAATGCTCAGTGATAGTGCGACGAAGAGCTCAAATCACTTTATTTTTTCATGATGAAGATATGGTTGTTTTTTGTTTTGTTTTTTTCTCTGGCGGATAAAGAAAATGATTGTCAATTTATTTATAGGCAAATTGCTAATCAGGCCGTGGTTTTACAGTTGGGGCATGTGTCAATGTGTAAAGTCAGTATTCTTAATTTAGCTTTCCTGTATTAACTATAGGTTATCTGATGTTCTAAAACAAGTTTAACATCAGATCCTGTTCTTGTCTCTGTTGTTGCACTGCCACATCCTTTTGGCTAATTAGGTAAAGTAATACTCTAAACTAAAATCAGAAGTATTAGCTACAGAAATGCGTTTAGTAAGATTTTAAGTTTTGGCCAATATCAAGCCCTGAATTTCACATCATAATCTAAGACAGTCATTTATTTATTTTTTTTTTAAATTTTAATCAGTTTTATGCGTACAAGACATTGTTCGCGGTGTGGAGGTGTATAGTTGAAAGGTACTTAACATTTACACAGCTCGTTCTTCGTCTTCATTCTTTTTCATGCCTTTTTGGGACTAAACAAGTGTATCAAGACGATGATTGCTGCTTGGTCTACAACATGGATTGACTCTATTTAGTGTATAGACACTGATCATAATACCACATTACCTTCTCCTGCTGTGAGGAATCATTATTACTCTTTCAACATTGAAAACGTTTAGGGGACATTGTCTCACTAAAGTGTGAGAAAGCACTTAAAATGGCTGTTTGCAGCTAAAATCCCCCAAAATTCAACCAGCTCCAACTTGTCTTCAACCTGTAAAATACCTTGAAGTTCATGTGGAAAAATCTACATAATCACACCAGGTGTAGAATCACCTGAGAGCGAGAGAGAGACGGAAAGATCAGTGGAATGTAATTTAGCTCGGAGGGGATCAACATTTTACTTCAAGTCAGAAGCTTTAACACATGCTGACATAGAGCATTCAGCAGTTGTGACCTTGTACCAGCGCATGCATGGATTATGTTTGGCTGAGGGTTGGGCACAAGTGTTAGCACTAAGCGCTTGGAGGCCTGGAGAAGGTTAATGGAATTGGGACACATTGTTGGTAATATTGGCTCTTTTTTTTTTTTTCTTTTTTTTTAAGTTCTCCAACAGTCACGGCTCAGTTTGGTAGACTCAATCATTTTTATCAGCCAAATCATCAAGGTGTTTTTATTTTTACTTATTATGCATTAATATTTTGAATCATGATAGTGGAATATGTTGCACGGTAAAAAAATGTAGTCTATACAGCATAGATTCATATGCCTAAAAATAAAACTACATTAACAATTGTAATTACACTTAAAAAGTTTTTCCATTGATGATGATTAATAAACAAAGTGTTTGAGCTCTTTGAAGTCTCATTACTTCCACAATGCCACACTGATGCCTTTTAAATGGAGGAAGCAAGGAAGTTCATAACGACATTCTTGTAATGCTGTTCCTGCCATATCTCTTTCGTACATTTTCACATGATCAGTGGACAATAATCTGGCCTGGTCTGCAAAGAATAAGCCACGTCCTGTTTTTGACATACAGTTGTTCAGTAACTGAAGCTGACAGCCTGGCTACACAGATGTATAAAAGCTCGGGCTGGAATCGGGACATGACACCCAAAATGTTTGGCTGTGTGTTTCGTAATGATTCATGAATTGACCCGGCGAAGTGCAACACTGCAGTTAGATTTGTTGCACATTTTTGAGGATGAAACATGTTAATGCGCTCTCCTGAATGTCTTCAACGTTGTCATAAACTTGGTTCCCCAAGTATGACCACAGTCATGGTTAACATGTTTTATAAACCCATGTGACAGATGATTGTCACGTTCACGGTTCGGGTGAGTCGGTGTTCGTAGATAGACACTCGTGTTTGTCAAAAAAAATTTGGCTTTTGTTTGCATTTGTGTTCTCGAAGTTGCTCACTTGAGGTTTTTCAAATTTGCAAGGCAATCATGTCCAAATGTTAAGTAGAGAGAATTTGAGTCTGTAAGGCAGAAGTAGCATAGGATGTGCAAATTAAAATGGGGAAGTGTAAACTCATTAACAGCTTCTGTAAACATGCTCAAGAAGTGGAACATAGAGGGACTACATGCTTAAAACATGCTAGTCAAAAGGGGATGGGAAGGGTGCAGGAATTCTTGTTTACAAAATGTAATATCTTAAAAAGGAGAGCTACTGTAGGGTTAGGACTATGCTCTACACCAGCTAAATCTCTTTTTCTTAAAGTTGAATCACAATGCACAATATGTATGCATTTTCTACTTAATGTTCAGTCAGAAGTCAAAGCCACATGTGACACATCACAGGCCCTTTTAGCATATTTTGAAGCAGCAGGTGCAGAACGCTATTGCTTCATAAAAGTTTAAATCTGCTGGTTAGCTCTTTGCACTCTCTCACTGAGCCTGCATAATTGTATGGGTTTTATTCTGGTTGGTGCAATTTTATCTCACAGTTCAAAGACACAAAGGTTAAGTTGGCTGATGATTATAAATTGGCTTTAGTTTGGATTAAATGGTAGAAACTGCTGTCTCTCGTTGAGTTAGACATGTTATGGACTGGCTACCTGTCTAGGGTATCCCCCGCCTGTTGTGTTAGCTAGACTTCAGCCCCCTGTGACACAATTTGGATAAACACTTGGGAGTGTAAATCACCATCCAACTGTGTCTGTTGTGTTTAAAAATGTATATTTTCACATGAAATGCTGCGTAGCTGTAGTAAATGAATAAAAAATGCAGGCGACTAGCTACATAATTAATGTAGGTTTGCCATCTAGGTCATTCTGATAGTACGGTGATAAGTAAACTAACTTAAGATGTCACAAGGTATTTAAACTTTGCTACTCTGTCTATATTTTCGATTGCATAATATACAGACTTGCATCACTCTGACTACTCTTAACTTCACAAAGTGTTTAGGGAACACTTTCTTTGTCTTTTTAACTTTATTGGCTTTTTCTGTTCTGCACGTCTCCTGTCTAGGCTCACAGACACTACTTTGCACTAAAGATAAGTGCTCTAATGCAAGAAGAAGCTAATTTATGTGAAATTCTCTATATGATATAAATACTACCTTAGTGATGTAGAGAGTGAAAATGCATAGTGACACATGGGATGGATTGTGCAGATTATCTTTCTGTTTCTCTGTCCCTTTAACTGCTCTTTCATCACTCACTTTCTACCACATCTTTTAGCTTGAGTTTTATCTTATGTATTCTTTCTAACCGTATCTTGCCCTCCCCCTCACATCCTCCCTTTCTGCAGGTGGTGCGGCTATGCCAAAACCCCAAACTGGCTCTGAAGAACAGCCCTCCCTACATCCTGGACCTGCTGCCAGACACCTACCAGCACCTGCGCACCATTTTGTCTCGTTACGAGGGCAAAATGGAGACTTTGGGTGACAATGAGTATTTCCGGGTCTTCATGGAGAACCTGACAAAGAAGACCAAGCAGACCATTAGCTTGTTCAAGGAGGGCAAGGAACGCATGTATGAGGAGAATTCACAACCAAGGTGAGAAAACTGGATGAAATACATGGAATAGATGCCCATCTTAATCGTATCAGTGTCTATGTTATAAATTATTTGCCTTCTCAAGTTCAAATGCTTTTCTCAACCTTGCTGAGCTGCTGTGTTCATTGTCTTCAATGAAACACATCTGAAACGGGAATTTCAAGGTGTGAAACCTTAATGCAGCAGTTCATTGTGAATAATTCTGACAATGCAGGTACAGCGTGAACAATTGCTCCCACCCCCAGCCCCAAGGCTGGCTGTAGCTCAAGAAGCATCAAAACAAGAGGAAAGATGTGTTGTGGTTTGAGCATGTGAGCGTTTGTGGTCAAAATGGCGCTTAATCTACAGCTGCCTGCCTGCATGCTGCTTTGTTTTTGTGCCTTCATATCTCTGCCATCTACTCGAGCATAGTTTCGCCATGTAGTTTATTTTACTTTTTTGAAAAGTCACATGGTGCCTCCCGCTTGTCTCTTTCTTTTGTCTTTCTTGAAGTTTTTTTCTCTATCTAGAAACAGAGTGAAGTGTATAGTCTGTCCCGAAAATAAGTAGATGTCATGGCTTTGTTTGGAGAGACTCAGATTATTGAAAAGACATTCCATTTGGGTTTTGTTGTTGTTGTTGTTGTTGTTGTTGTTGTTGTTGTTGTTGTTGTGTTTTTGTTTGTTTGTTTGTTTTTTACAAAAAACAAAAAAACCTCAGTATAAAGTGAGGTTAGTGGTAACTGGCAGCCTTTCTTGAGGTGCAGACTATACTGGAAGAAGCTGATCTTCTTTGTATATATTTACAGACGCCCTTTTAGTTTCATGTATGCTGTGGGTGAATGCTGTTGGACTTTGTTGTGATTTGAATACTTTTTCCTTTTACAGCAGATCACTCCAAATGACATGAACTGCCGTCAGATTTTGTGCCTGCAAGGACTTTGTCCAGAATATCTTTTCTCACTGGTAGTAGGCAACATGACTTGCAGCAGTTTTTTTTTTTGTGTTGTCAAGGAAACCTTTATGACAGACTGCCATCTTTAGTAGATTTTGGACCCCAAGTTATTTGAAAATGGGTGAACTGAGACCATAGTCAAAGGACATAATACCCACTATGATACCAAGTACATCGTACTTACAGGTAGTAGTTTTGCCTGAGCACACATGTTCTTCAGATGTCAACTGGGAAACTAACCATGGCAAAGTTTCCCAGGCATCATTTGTTTTTTCACAATGCACATTACAGAATGCATGTGTTAGTTTAGTCAAAGGAAGACAGCACAAGTTCTACCCACACATAGGGCAAAACTATTCATAGTTCTCCATTATCTTCAACACATAAAGGCACCTCCTTGGCAATTCCAACTCCAATTGAAAAACCCTGAAGGTTCCCTGCAGCGTGAAGAAAACACAGTCATTTATTTAAGCCGCCAAACTGAATAAACAGGTTTTCTATAGGGCACAAAAGTGGATCCCAGCAGTAAGACAGGCGGCGCTATCAGTAGTAATAAACATGTAGGATCCTGACACAGTACATCTACTTGTACATCAAGACATTTGTAAATAATAAGTGCGATATCCAAGTTTCAACTGTAGGCTACTATATTTCTGCAAGATGACCTTTAGCATTTTGACAGTAGGAATCTTTTGTTGTAGTGGTATGTGGATGATTGAGAGACCGGAGGTGGATTGACAAAAAATTAAGAGGTATTGTTTTCTAAATAAAGTTTAGAACCATAGAAACAATAACATCAAAACAACACTGTTTTTAAGTTGTCATATATAAGAATGAATGAATGACCTGGCACCATATTTCTTTGCTGATCAGAGCTGATAAGGTTGACCGCGACCTTTTATCTAGTTTCCGATAGACTTTTCTTAGGATTAGTCTAGGACATTAAAGAAAATATAATTGTGATATCCTGTTAAATTAACACTGTCTAATTAACATTACAGATGGGTGGAACTGATAACATTTGCAAGCATCATTTTATTATTAGCCATAGCCGCTACCTTCTACCAATGATAACAAACAGCATAATGTTGCTATCAGGTAATTGCTAATGCTAGGCTAACATTTATTATAACTGTTTAATACTTAAAGCTTTGTTTTCAACAAAATTTACTGACGTTAGTGAGGAAAGGGCTTTATGCCAGTATTAGCCAGTACTAAGCTGATATTTGTACTGAGTGTGGGATCTCAAGGTGGTTCATCTCTGCCAAGTAAAGCTTATATGTGAAGTTGATCAAAAGTAGTTTATTTGTTATATTGGTGCTAATCCACAGACTGTATGTATAAGATGGAAGCAGCTTCCAGCTTTGAAAAGTGAACACCCAAATGTGGTAAACCTGCATTTTTAAAATAAATAAATAAATAAAATAAAAAAAGTAATTAATTAATGGCCAACAGGGAGTTGCTCTTCCAGTTACACAAAGACTTCAGTAGTATAAGTTTGTGGAAAATTGGCCATCGACTCCCTTTCTCTGTAACCTCAGTAAACACTTAACAGATGATTCAAGTCATGCTCAATAGAATATTAACTACATTTTGTAGACTTTGGTCATTGTGAGAGTCAGAACCGTGTCTTTATATGCAAGAAATGAGAATTTGTAACAACTTGTTACGGACAAGTCTGCAATCATGATATCAGGGCTACCCACCCTTGCTCATTGCTCATCTTGGGATGATGACTGACATTACTGTGGCAGCGTCTTGTTTGTTGTTTTTTTGTTTGTTTTGTTTTGTAATACTCCGTGTGCTAAGTCCTCCTTTGCTGTTGGCATTTTCTTAATTTTCAGAGTTTTCTGGAGTGTAACTATAACCATGTTACTATTGTCTGACCTCAGGAAATTTTTATTTGTGTTGTGCATTATAAATTTTCTAATTTCAAGATCAAGTAATCAAGTAAACTTATTCGACCATTCATAATTTAAGACTAGTATGCACTTTTTACTAAAGTCTGTAAACTTTGTTACAGTAATAAGGAGTGTGACTATCACTTGATCTTAGTAAAAATGATAATAACAATAGAAATAAAAGTCTGAAAGTTTCAAAGTTTGCAAAAACAAAATTTTGCCAAGCACTTGTGATAAGATTAAACGTGCAGTCAAAAAGAGAGAGAAAGAGAAGCCAAAAAATGTATGTCATTGAAGAAGCCACTAGTGGTTTACTTTGGACAGCTGTAATGCTTCACCACTGTGGAAAAAAAACCCCAAAAAAAACAACCTCTAGAGCAGAGTCAGTGTGCAGCAAATTGGCTCACATAGTAGCCCTCTGTGGATAGTTGCTTTTCCAGTGTTGCTGTGCATCCTCTTTGTAATAACGCACTGAAAAGTCTAGTCATACGTGAAAGGAAAGTGAAGATTTAGACTATTTATATGCCTGCAACGAGGAAGTGGATTTGTTGTATGGCTTGAATGACAGCGAGAAAAAAATGGCTTAAAAGTGGGCTCATCGGTACCACCAGATTTTGATTATTGCAATAAAAACGAACACAGGTGGCTAAAATTTGGTAGAAATTTAGTTGATCGGAGTAAATTTCCCTCCAAGGCTAGATCACTTGATCACTTGCAGAACTAAATCAGAAATACATGGTTCTAATGTTTCTTCACACATTGGTGTAACCTGGTGTTTCCTTTGAACATAGTCTCTTTTTTTT